CTCGACAGTGTATCCGAACCTCTCGATGTTTGCTGCGGGGCTTGCGACCTTACTTCCGTCCACCCACTCGGTGGAAGCCGACTTCTCCATCCTCAAGAACACTAGAAGCGACTCGCGTCGCTCGCTCTCCAACTACGCAATGGAAGTCCCGATGCAGTCCAAGCAATACAAGGAGCTGGAGGCAGCCGTCACCTCGATGCAACGCGCCACGCATCGAATCGCACCGCGGAATGCGACTGTATTTTCATTGATTGCGTAATCATCTTCTCAATATATCTTGAAGTTTGTATACATTTCGGCTCCAAATGGGATCCAAGGCGGAGCCCAAATGAGGCACGAAAAAGCTTAAGATTGGATGAGGCTAAAAAATCCAAGATTGCAGAGGCCTGCACATCACAATCGTTTGCAATAGTTTGTAAACAGTATAAAACAGTAGAGAGCAGTATAAAACATCTGTGTCCAGCGTCCGTACGCCAAGCTTACTTTTTGTATACACGAACTTCACGGTCTTCAAGTTTCGAGAGACTGAATACGAGTCTCCGCACTTGCTCTTTGGACCGGCGATTGTGATGACGTTGGTACGACGACGTCGACGGCGGTGGATTCGAAATTTGAGGTGTAGGGTCCTCAGCTGCTTCATGCTGCGTTCTATGGTCGCATCGACGACGTCCAGCACCTGCTCAAGGAAGGCGCTGACGTCCACTGGACCAACGAGGTGCGTTGACCACGCGAGATGTCAACAAGACACGTACGATTGTATAGAATGGAGTGACGCCGATCTACGCTGCTGCAGAGAGAGGACACGACATCGTCGTCAAGACGCTCCTCGGCGCCAACGCAGCTGTGGATCGAGCTAAAATCGTACGGCGTTCTCTCCCTCAGCTTATTGCTCTATGAGATACGTGGTCTCACACGTTGTTGATGATGCAGGATGGAGCGACGCCGCTGTTTGTTGCTGCACAAAACGGACATGACATCGTCGTCAAGACGCTTCTCGGCGCCAACGCAGCTGTGGATCAAGCGATGAACGTACGACGTTCTCTCCTTTCGCTCGTTGCTTCCTAAAACATTCGATCTCACATGTTGTTGATGATGCAGGATGGAGTGACGCCACTGTATATTGCTGCATTCAACGGACACGGCATCGTTGTCAAGACGCTTCTCGACGCCAACGCAGCTGTGGATCAAGCTAGAAACGTACGTTTTCTCCTTTTGCGCTCTCAAACATTAGGCCTCATATGTTGTTGATGATGCAGGATGGAGCGACGCCGCTGTATATTGCTGCAGAGAAAGAACATGAAGTCGTCGTCAAGACGCTCCTCGGCGCCAACGCAGCTGTGGATCAAGCTAAAAACGTACGACGTTCTCTCCCTCACTTACTGCTCCCTGAAATACGTGGTCTCACATGTCGTCATTGATGCAGGATGGAGCGACGCCGCTCTTTATTGCTGCACAGAACGGACACGACATCGTCGTCAAGACGCTTCTCGGCGCCAACGCATCTGTGGATCAAGCGATGAACGTACGACGTTCACTCCTTTTGCTCGTTGCGATCTCCAGCATGTGGCCTCATATGTTGTTGATGATGTAGACTGGAGTGACGCCGCTATACATTGCTGCATTCAACGGACACGACATCGTTGTCAAGACGCTCGTCGGCGCCAGCGCAGCTGTGGATCAAGCTTGGAACGTACGCTCTCTCCTTTAGCTCGTTGCGATAGTGTACATTCGTCTAAAGCTATTGTTGGTGCTCTAGGATGGGAGAACGCCGCTGACGATTGCGTGTGAGTATGGTCATAAATCAGTTGTGAAAGTCCTACTCAAGGCGAAGGCGCGTGTAAACCAAGCTATGAACGTACGTACGCTGCACCGATAGAGGTTTCAAATTCTGTCTTTGATTCAACAGGTTGTGTCATAGGATGGTGACACCCCACTAATGATGGCGACGCTACCCGGTCATCTCGATATTGTGCAACGTCTTCTCGACGCTGGCGCAAACGTGAACCAGAGTCTCCAAGTCGGCTACAGTTATAAAGGCCAGTACATCTCGGTACAGGATCCAGTCTCTGCGACGACGTCCTTTATTTCCTAGTAGGCGGGTGCAACGCCGCTTCTACTGGCCGCTCAGTTTGGCCACGACGATGCGACTCGCGCCTTGCTGCGTCACCACCCCAACCTCCAAGCCACCGATGCCGTACGAGATGGAGTTTTCCCACCGCTGAGATTATTTATCTTGCTGATTAGGACGGCAACACGGCGCTCTCGATGGCCACGCAGCGTGGGCACGCGACTATTGTCCGTCTTCTGGAAGAGTATATCAGCACCAACCCGGGTGTACGCGCCATTGCTTGCTTGGATGAAGTTGAATTTATGCTCTTTCGTAGCCTCAACCAACGCCACCAGCTCAAGGATCTGTCAATGAGAAGAAGAAGATGGAGCTTGTGCAAGCAGTGGTCGCGGGCCATGTTGCTGCCACCAAAGCACTTTTGGATCAAGGCGTTGATGCGCGCGTCACGAACGAGGTGTTCAGATTGAGTTTGACGTCCACACACTCACGTCCAAGCTCGTAGTTTGGCGACGGTCTTCTGCACCTTGCGGTGCGCCATGGCCACACGCAGCTGCTTCAGATGCTCTTGGGCTGCTCCGACGCGTCATTGGTCGCCTGCAACAAGGTATAACACTTCGGCTTGTGTCTATGCTTCCCCATGCGTGTTCAGGATGGCGAGACGCCTCTGGTGCTCGCGATCAAGCTGCGTCATCGCCGGTTCCCGCACCAAATTTACAGCAGCTCTCATCAAATCGCCGACGATGTACTACGTCATGATGAAGTCGTGCACTTGAACGATCCTAGGTGCCAGCGACAGCGATCTACATTGATGCCAACAGCCTCCTTGGCGACGGCGCCAAAATCAACGTCATGCAAACGTACGATGCTTCTTCATCCGTCTCAATCTGAACCTCAATTTTGGATTGTACTAGGTGCAACTCGCCGTACTTGCTGCAGCTCAAAGCGGTCTCGGGGCAGTACAGTGACAACCCCAAGCTCGTGCTCGAGTACATAGACGGCGGCAACCTCCGCCAATACCTCGACAAGAAGCGCAAGGGCGAAGCGACAGAGGTCGAGTACTCGACGCTCGATATTGCGTGGGTCATTGCCAACGCTTTGGCCGACCTCCACCGGAATGGCTTTATGCACCGCGACCTCAAGAGCCGCAACGTGCTTCTCTCGTCCACAAACTACATCAAGGTGGCCGACTTTGGCCTCACGAGGGAAATTGACCCCAACATGACGGTTGGGGCTGGTACGTGTGCGTGGACCGCGCCCGAGGTGTTTGGGGAGAGCGGCTCGTACAACTATGCGGCCGACATTTACTCGTTTGGCGTCATTTTGACCGAGCTCGAGACGCTCCAGGTGCCGTATGCAGGCATGACCCGCAACGACATTACCGCCGGCGTTTGCAGCGGCCGGTTGCGTCCGTCGGTGAGCTCCAACTGCGCGCCGTGGTTCAAGGCGCTCGTTGACGACTGCTTGTCGTTCGACCCGACGAAGCGCCCGACCGCCATTGCGATCATCGACCGTTTGTTGCTGCAGGAAAAGGCTCTTGTTGGTCGAGAGCCGGTCGCCGAGCCCGAGGTCGACCCAACACCGGAGGCGCCGATTGCAGCCAAGATCGAGATCCCAGTGGTACGAACGATCCAGTGGTTCTCACCATCTCATGGTGGTCCATTAGTTAATTGGTCCATCCGAGGCGATGAGTTACGTGGCGTGTCGGATGTGCAAGACCCGCAACGGAGCTCTCGATGCGCTCTGCCGCCGCTGCAAGAAGAAGCTACCAAACGCATCGATCAGCGCCGCGTAAGCTGCACCCGGGGGATCTTTTAGGCTCCATCCAGAGGACACTTTTCCATTTCGATCTCTTCCAAATACATTTTTTGCCACTTGCTGTCGCCACTCTACGCAATTGACATCGTCGGCCGAGACGGCGCGTAGAAATCGTCGTACCTCGGTGGTGATGTTGGGGCTCACACTCTCTTCCACGAGCATACTCGCGCGCACGACATCCCCAGCGACGACCGCGGCCAAAAGCTCCGAGGCACGCGCGTCGTACGCTTCCTCGAGGCGCGCGAGGTCGATGCCCTACACCATGGCAGCTACACGACCAAGCGTGCAGTGATCGAACGTACGTCTGCGTGGGCGCCTGCGTCGAGGAGGAGACCGACGATGGTCAAGTGACCGCCGCGCATGGCTACCGTCAGCGCTGTCTGGCCTTTCTACACCGCCCACGACGATAAACGTTGCGGTGGTACCAGCATCGTACCACGTCGGTCGCATGTACGTTGGCGCGGGCAGAGAGCAAAACTCTGGCAACGTCTTCGTGGCCGAACAGTGCGGCCACCAACAGCGGCGTCGCGCCGGGCTATGCACAAGACAATTGCAGCGTTCTATCTCGGCTACAGTAGGCAAGTACCATGAGAAGCTGGTCCTGGGACGGAAAGCATTCTCGAAGGCCCTGATCGACGTCGGCGCCCGCGTCAATGAGCTGAGCAACGATCTCGTGATGCCCATTGCGCGACGCGCCGAGAAGGGGCGTGTCACCATCCTACAAGGACACACATGGCGCGACATCCTTTCCAACGAAGGGTATTCTCTACGCTCGCGCCTTGGTTGACCGATGCGTGGGCCGCAAGGAGCATCGCTACAATGGCGTCGTGGCCGTTTTGAGACGCCGCCAAGAGAGCGGTCGCCCCGTCCTAGACCCCGTACGTTGCATGCATCGTCGACGTCGGCGTCTTACGTTGCGAGCTTGATTCACGGCCGCATGGGCGGTGAGCAGGTCGGCGACAATGGTATCATGGCCATTCTTGGTGGCGAGCCAAAGGGGTGTCGCTCCATTCTAGACATGCATGAGGCCATCGCAACAAGAGAGCACGTACATTTCTCGCTTGGTTCACCGCCGCTTGCGCTGCCACGAGTGTCGTGACGACGGCGCCGTGGCCGTTTTGGGCGGCGGCCAAGAGCGGTGTCGCTCCGTTCTAGTACCGTGCTGTGTGCAAAGTTTCAATGTATCCAGCGCCGTACGTTCATGCAACGGTCGACGATCGCGTGCGCCGCGAGCAACGCCGATACAACTGCGTGGTGGCCGTTCTGCGACGCGACCAAGAGCGGCGTCGACCCGTTCTAAGACACCAGCACGGTTCCAACGCGTGGCGGCGACGGCAAATTACGTGTTTGAGCATAACTGGATGGCTACCAAAAATGCATTTTCATCAAAATTTCATCAAAATCTCAGGTCGACCGCTAAGCCATCTCAGATGCATTCAAATCTCGCACAGGTCTCGACAGATCTCGTACACATTTGCTCTCACAATTGGTGTCTCTTGTGTTTTTCGTCTCATGAGACTTTGAGGGCATCTCAGATGCAATCTCAGACGCTTTGTGAGACAGCGATTTTTATTGAGCTATAACGAGAAAAAGTCGGAATCTGGGCATAACCCTTTTTCCCGCATGGTGATTGGCTAATATTCAACAAGGTCCTGGGTGCGCCATGGAGGTCACACTTGCGCAGATATGGCATGCTGTGCACGACTTGGTGCTATAAGAAACATGAAATGACTTGTATTTATTAACGCTACACGTTATCCTAGAGGCCGCACTAGTTTTGCGCAGAATCTTGGCAAATGTCACGATCTTGAGCTGGCAGAACTTGAGCTGGCAGACCCGACGCTCACGACCCAGAGGCGTCTGCTGCCACGTCGCTAATAAGTGGTTCGAGATGGTAGAAAATGCCTCCGCGGCCCGAGGTGGATCTCGACGGCATGGTCACATCGGCGCAGTGCACGGAGGCCAAGTTGCTCTTGAAGTGCTTCGTGACAACTTCCACACGGAGTAGATCTTGGCTTGGTTCGCCGAGAGGTCGGCGGGTTTGAACTTGGAGAACG